AAAAAAAGCAGTTACGACGCGCCCTTCCAAAAAATCACGAGATATTACCCTCGTTGAACTTGTCGCAACAGTTTGGCCAGCTCTAGACGTCGCTGTTAAAAGGCTGGTCCAGATATCAGATCCCAAAAACTGCTTCTAGAGCAAATATTTGGTACCACCAGGGTAGGATAATCAGTAGCAGAATGGTCTGCAAGGAGAAAAACAATGGATTGATAGCACATCGGTTGACTCGTTCACAACACTGTGTAGACCAGGACAATAGCACGTGCAGACGCTGCTACAATCTGGAGGGGAAGTCGGGTGGGAGGCGCGATCCAAAAAAGTAGTAGACGTATCGACATGCTCCTCCCTCCCCTCTCACAACTTTTCCCTCCGAAACCCCTTTTATGGCCTCCGTACAGACAATTTCCCGGAGGTGACGGGACTCTCGCTGGGAGGTGGGGCGGTTCTCATTGGACTCCCTACGTAGAACGGCGTCGAGAAGTGATCTCAACCCTTCTCTCCCATTTCCACTACCGCGGCGCATCGAAAGGGTGTTCCGCCAATGACGTCATCATGATGGTTCCGCCCCCTGTCCATCGTATTTAGTGCCTTTGAGGTGCGATTGTCGGCTTTGTAGCTCCCACCCTATAAAGTTTCTACGCACCCTCTATGTAAAAATGTGTTAGTGTAAAACAACATCTCTCATAACCAAATCCTCACGGAGCTAAATAAATTCACTTGTATTCAGGAGATCACTCGTGTTATTGAACCATACTCAGAAATCGATCTTTCTCATATAGTACGTTGTGTAGGAATGAATCAAAAGCAAATTGAGAAAGCAATTTCAATGATGCTTCTTGACAAGAAATTCTTCGGTAAGTTCCGGTTCCCTCCAGGTATGCTCTGCTTCCGAAAACCAGATGCGCGTCGAGTGCAGACCACACACCACAAGTGACGACGGCCTCCAAGTAAATCTGGTAACTAGTGGTTCATAGTGATAGCTGATAGTTGGTAAATGATAGTTGTAATTAGTGACAACTGATAGAATACAACTGCAACAGGCTAATCATTTCATTGGCAGAAAACATTTACATTTTGTGGAGGCCGTCGTCACTTGTGGTGTGTGGTCTGCACTCGACGCGCACCTAGTTTTCGAAAGCAGAGGGTAAGCTCACTCGTACCTTGTACCAAGCTGAAGATTCGAAGAAATTCCGAAAAGAAATAGGCATTGATCACTGGCATTACCCGTTTTTCTCAGAATACTGACAGTGGAGTCACCCAATCGATACAAACGTATAGTCCCTATAATTCATCCCAAAAATTCTTCTGCGCATTCCTCCAAAGAAACGTTACGGTGTCAAAAGCATGAGTGTTTCAGGTGTGATTGATCAGCATAAGGGCACTGTTCACGTCTATCAAACACCTCACAAAGACA